GCATCATTTTAGTAGTGGCAAATTTGCCCTTTGGATTTCTGTGCCTTATGAATACATTAGCTTTAAAATTATTTTTAAGACACCAGAGGTTTGACAAATGTACCAATAAATATATAGGATATAATTCACACCAAACCCAGCAGAATAGCTGCAGACTTACACAATTTATTTTTTGTATAATCATAATTTAAAGCATTATGATTTTAGAGGTGGTTTTCTCCCAAAATGGATTTGTGTATAATACTTACAGACAGACAAATAACTGGCTCAAAGGAAATATTTTTCCAAAGACAGTCAATGCTAAGTGAGCTTCAAGGCTTAATTTAAAGTTCTTTTGTCTAAACCTGGGATCCAAATGTACCCATAGGCATTTATAAATGGGAGAGGAGTATTTTTTTCACGTGGCTTTTCCCTTTGGAACAAACGTGCTCCAGAAAGAAAAGCTGAAGGAAGAACAAGGAGGTGTGCTTTGCTGATGTTCATGGAACAAGGGCTTAGGAAACCATGCACAGAACATGCAAGATCACACACAGTGCAGGCACAAACTCTGCAATCAAGGCAGACAAAGCAAGGGCAAGTCAAAGATTTTGAGCTCAAGGCTCCAAGAGAATGTAGGAGGATGAGTTTTGACCCAAACCAGACTCAGAACCCACATATTTACATTAAGTGTGTAAAATCTTAAGCCAGTAAATTTCCAGTAAATTTCCCCAAAATATTTTATAGAATCACTGTGAAATAATTTAATTTTATTTCACCTTATTTAGACAATGCAAGATGATAAATGCTCTTTCAATGAGGGAAATACTTTTTTCTTTTTTCAAGAAATTATGGGTAGAAAAATATAATAATACAAAGAAAGCAAGAAAACAATAACTGTTCTACCACTGAAAAACAAACAAGCATAACAACACAGGTCTTAAACCAGAAGAGTGAAAGTTCAGCTCCACTTGACATCTAGGAATAGAAAATGTCTTTGGAGAAAAGTAAAAGTCCTCAATGAACTCAATGACACTACATGTCAGTTCAGACAATCTACAAATAAAGGCTTCAGAAATGACACCTCTAGAGAAAACTACTGGTGCAGGAATAAAATGCAGATATTTAGTAACTGTGAAATTACAGAAGTTTGGCAAAGTTGAGCAAATATTGCTATGAACTGAGATGAGACTGTTTTATTTGAGAAAATACAGTATGAAGTCATTAATAGCATCTGCTTTTCTCCAAGTCTAATCAGGTCAATAAAACAGCAGTGCTTTTTTATGCAAAGAGAGAGAAAACAAAAGAAAAGAGTATGCAAGCTAAATAATACTGTAATAGAAAAATCCTGCATCTAAACCACACTTAATAGAATAGCTTCAGAGGTATTTGATGACAGGGGTTTCATCTCCAGATAACGTAAGCAGAGGATCCATAAATGGATCTCCACTAATTGATATCTTAATATTAAATTCAGGAAGGTCATGCTTGTCTAAAACAAGCATTCAGAATAATTAATGAAAATCTGTTTAATTGCATATGGAGTCTGGAGATCATTGGAGAACAACAAAATAATTAGAAGCACGTCCAATGTAAAAAATGCTACAGTCATTTTCATTTGTTGATTAGGGTAACTATCACGCACAGCGTCTCAATGTCCAAATAAGAGCTCAGGTTTTCATCTTTAATCTCTCTTTCACAACATTCCTTTAGCTGAAGTTCATTAATACTGGATCTTTGTAGCACCATTTTTAATTCTGAATATATCTATCAGTCTGTGTATCTCCATAAGCAACTACAAGTTATTACGCTTTAAGAAAATGTAAAATAACTATTTAGTTCCCCCTGTTTTAGTCTTCATCCATTCTGTGTTGTCAGCATTCTAGAACTCTAAAAACACAAGACAGCATGTCCAAAACACTGAAAATTCCTGTAAGAATCTCTATTTCCTTCACAAAATTCACCTTTCAGGTGCACTACTGTTTTCTATATAATTATTCTACTAATCAGAATTCAGAATATGGTATATTTGAGTTAGGAAATAAGAATATTCCACAAGACTTCAATTTTCTAAATTAATAATTTAAGATAGGACAAAGAAAAGACTCATCATATTAAATATAAACTAAAAAAATGTGGAAAAATAGCGTGCAAACCTATGGAACAGCAAGAATTGTGATTTTACAGCATCTTAGTATTTGCTCTAAGACTTATGAACCTGTATTAGCTAATGACCCATCATTTTGAACAGCTTATTCTTCAATGACAATACACACTGGAGACACTGCAGATGAAGTCATTTTTTCTTTTAATACTAAATGGTCTTCTATAATGAAATTATTTTTAAAACATAATTATTTTCTGCTATTGCTAGTTCTTGAAGCAATAGGCTTAAATTACATTAAAACATTTCCATAAACCATCTTTAATGCATACTAAAACACTAATGTAAACCAATACCTTAAACAAAGGCTTCCCAAAGGACTAAGCTGTGAAAAAAAGGCAAGGATTGCCAACATCTGAGCTGCACAGGACATGAATACTTTGTAAATATGTTTTCATAGTTATACAAGTCATGTTCACTGGCAATATGTCTGGAACATGGATTAAAAGCATAATAAATGCAAAGACCCCCACCTGGCTCTTTGCATGACCGGTTCAATCGGCCAAGTTCACTTGTTTCTGCTCAGCAGCTTCTGAGAGCACTGTACTGCTCTGAGAATGAGCCTGCAACTCCCAGCACCATGTCCCTTGTCACCTCACATCCCAACCAGGTGCCTGTGCACACAGCTAGCCAGTGTCAGCAAACCAGCTGTTCCCACCCCTTCATTAATGCCTGGATGCCATGCTGAGTGAAAGCTTACCTTGTGTTTTCACAACATGCTCTGCTCAAGCTAATAAACGTCTGAGTACTAACTCCACAGATGAGAGACACCTGAGGGATTTTTTTTGTACTGGAGACATCTTAGTTCTGGCTGAATTGTGCTGAATTCTGACTGACTGCATGCAGAGCCACTTGGTAATTCTCATGAGACACCCAATTCCCTGTACTTTCCAGGCTTTTCATTATCTTGGATACTCCATTTTTTTACTAAAGATAACAAACTAACAAAAAGCCTAGCAGGTTGCCCAGGGAAGTGGTGGTGTCACCATCCCTGGAGGTGTTCAAATAACATCTTGTTGTAGCACTTCAGGACTTAGTTTAGTGAGCATGGTGGTGTTGGGCTGACAGTTGGACTTGATAATCTTAGAGGTCTTTTCCAACCTCAATGATTCTATGATTCTAAAATAGAGAATGAAGGAACAACTTTAGAGGACAGCCGGCACTGCTTCCTTACTTAGTATTAAAACTTTACGTTGTTGTCCCAGCACATGAAAAGGAGAATGCTTTCCACTGCACTGCCAAAAGAAAGCTTCTTTTGCCCATACCTAGATACAAACCGTATTTTAACTTCACCAGTCTGAAAACAAAAATTCTTGCCCCTTGTTTTTGAAAACAAATTTCCTCCACATAACTGAGGCCTTCTACATGTGTGAACACTGAACTCTTTTGCTATTTTAAAGCACTCTGCACAAATGAAACAGTCCTCTTACCATGTTTGTATTCATTGTTACTGCACCTTTTCTGATCAAGTCAAAGCAAGTTAAAAATCTACTCATTTTTCTAAGTTATTAACAACTAAAGTTATTCCACTTAGCACAGACTGCAGCTGCTTAAATGCTACTGTATGCAAAGAATTAAGCTATTGAAATTAATGAGATGTGTCACACAATTTCAATTCTTCCTGTTACTAAGACACTACTGACTATTATTAATTACCCTAAGATAGCAGCCACAATGAAAAGAAAGATTGTGATCTGAATGCAATGAGTAGCATAGGTTAAAACCATTTCCATTCAAATCTGGGATTCTTCATTTTAGTTTTTAATCCAGAAACACTGAAGAAAAACAAAAGATTAGAGTATCAGTCCTTGTCAGTTATTTCAAAACCTCAAGAAAACGGCCATAATTTCACAACTGTTCCAACCTATTAAAATGTTCAGTTCTATAAAAATAAGTACAATTTTGGAGGTTTGGAATTTTATTCAAGAAAGACTGGTTTGTATGAAGAGCCACAGTACCTCTCAGCAAGAGTCCAAGGAAAAGGGGGTACCTCAGTGGGCCTTTATTTCAATGTGAATAGCAAATGCTTTCTACACCTCATCCAAGCTGCTGGCTGTAGAGGCAAGAGACTCTGTGCCACGTGGCTTTTTCATAAGAGACAAAGAATACCCCGTGATACCAGATGCAGATGTTTAGATAACTGAGTTTCATGAAGTTGTGACTTAACCAAACCAGTTATAATCAGATAAAAAAGTGCTTTGCCATTCTGTATTTGATGCTGTATGGCATTTCTCTTACTTTGAAATGCTAGCTTGAGAATAATGGAGATATTAAATACAAGCATGGATTTCACAACAGAAGTTAACACTAAAGAGGTTCAACACAACGATCCCATTGGGTTGTAGTTTGTAATTAGAAAAAAGTCACCTCTTCAATGAATGTAAGAGAACTGGTGAGGGAAGATGAAACTATTCACTCCTTGTCTGGCCAGAACCACAAATTTGCACTAAGGATACAGTACGAATAAAAAACACCTATGAAATTTCTAATAGTAGCCAGCTTCTGAAGGATCAATTAGTAGTTTTTATTTAGCTTTTAAAGACAAATTATTCAGCTTAACAAACTCTTACTTTTATCTAAGATATTCTAAGACCTTGATGGCAAGTCTCAACTGACAGACAGGCAAATGTTATGGAAAAGAATAAAAGTACATACATTTAACAGTCAGTCTGCAGAACAGCTGCTGAAAAGAAACTTGGCCTCAAATTTCAGCGTTGGGTACCAAGACAGCAAACAATGAATTTTTTTAGTCAGTTTTGTTATGCTTTGCCCCTTGTTCAAGTGAATTCACTCCCTTGAGAAAATACAAACCACATACCCAATTTACTGGGTGTTCCTTTTTCATTTAAGATTAACTTACCGAGTGCCGTCTGCTTTCCAGCTAACTTTGTATGGCTTCTGCTCCAAAAATTTAATATTTTGCTTGTCCATGGAGACAGGCTGTGCTCCAGGGAATCCAGACCTAAAAAAAAAAAAAAAAAAACAAAAGAACCATTTTTACTAATGTGCTGTAATAAATAGTCACACGGGGCAATGCATTTTTTACATTAGAAGTCACACCTTGTCACACCAGACTTGCCACAAGGTTAACTTTGGTTTAGAAGATCTTCTCCAGTAAGGTCTTTTGCAAGAGGAATCAAATACAAGGGTATTTGCTTATGACAAAATACTCAATTATGTGGGACTTTGAAGTTTTAACTTCAGAAGAAGAGATACCTGAATTCAAAATTATAAGTACTACAGGAACTGTAATAACCAGCAAGTTAGGAAGCACTGCAAGTAACTCTCTGGATCATTAGCTTTAGGGAGGAGGTGTTCAGAATCGGAGACATTAAAATCAACATTCTCATTAACATTACACACAAGTTTCAAGTTGGCTATACAAATGAGTATTACACCTCAATACTGGAGCCTAACAGCAGTTGTATAAATAAGTTTACTGCTCAAGCAAGCACTGGATTTTACACAAACACCTGGACTAAACCACATCTGGAATTTGGAAGGCAACAATTCACGTGAATACATTTTCTCACCTCAGTGGAAAAGCAATTCACTTTTACAATAAGCAATTTCCTTCTGCAAAACTAAAAACACTACACTTATTTCTAGACAGTATAAATACAAATGTTCTAAATGTTCTCATACCCTTCCCATCCACAGAACTGCTGACATTTTTGCTGTATTCCTCCCAGCTTTGGTTGTGTTGTCACCTGCGTCACACATTTAACTGTTATTCCTTCCAAAAAAATTGCACCCTATATAAAAAAAAATTATATAAAATTAGTATTTCAGTCTTCATAAAAGCAGATCAGAACATGTCAATACAAGATTAAGACTGTTTTTACAACATGACCCTTAAAAGCAATACTACCTTAGGAATAAATCTCTAAGGAACATTTAATTTAATACCAAAATACATCAGCTGAGCTTTGCCAGTAAAATCACTGGTGATCCATACTATGAACTCAGGAACTGAAAAGAGTTCTTTATGAGGGGGAAAAAAAAATAAATAATTTTTTAATTTAGAAGAAGGTAAATGGTAAGTGATAAGCACTATTCAGCTAATCCTCTCAAGAAAGTTCCCACAGCAAGCTCCAGCATCAGTCAAATTCATTTTTCGTTTGTAACAAAAGTGTTTTTCTTTTAAAAGAATGTACACTAGTTTCAAGAATTTAATAGTACATTGGTCACATACAGCATTTTCAGGGATCAAATTAATCATCTTTAGTACACTAAATATTACATAATACTAAGGTAGTGTAAGACATCTATTTGTGGATGAGAATCTGAACTTAAACAGTATTGCAAGCCTGGAGGAAATCACTGAACAGGAAAGGTCACAACACACTTTCTGGCACAAACCTTTGTGACACTACTTTTAAGTATGTCAAAAAGTATGACCTCAAAATAAGTAAGCTGGAAACTAAGGTCAAAATTTACCTATCAAATGTTGAATATTTTTTAAATACATAAATAGTACTGGTAGACCAACAATTCCATGCTTTTAGTGATTCATGGGAACTAAAAGCTTTTCACTAACACTAGAGCTCTAACGTGAGATAAACCTAAGCAGCTTGGGAATTAGTGCATTAAAGTCATTGGGAAACATCTTTACACAAGGTTTTTGGTGTGTATTTTTTTTAAAACAAACATCTCAGTGGATGAAGATTTTAAGTTCTACTTTTCTCCCTGCAAATCTTTGAGATTCATGTTTTAAATTAATTCTGTTAATTTTATCAGACCTAGATAGCAATTCCAGTACAAGAAGTTCAGTTATACAGATTCCACCTCTACCTGAGTGATGTACCACCTTATATGACTCAGAACTCAGGAAAAAATGTAAAGAATTAATATACTTATGCACCATCAAACTTTGAGGATTCTCTGTTGATCTAGGATAGATTTCTTTATAAAATAGAAAACACAAAGAGCTGGTTTGTAACAAAGTAGTTGTATAAAAATAGACATTGACAATTCTCAATCTAAATCAGGTTACTAAAGTGGAGGTGTTACCCTGGATGTTACAGAAAAGCCAAAGTAGAGATCAATAAAAGAATATTGAAAATAAAACTTCAAATTAACTTGTATATTCCTGAGAAAGTTTGACACCAAGTGGAATAAAAACAAATTTTGAACAACAGAACACATTAAAGCCTTCAGATGTACAAAGATACATAATTAAGGTTAGTATAGAGATCCCAAACTGAGCAGACTTACTTCAACAGCACCTCAAATAATTTCTCAATGCAGACTAAGAAGGACCAGAGCATGAAGCTTCACCTGTTGGGCTATGAATCCTGCAGATGAAGACACCAGTATTTTGTATCTGTTTTCTACAATGCCTGAAACTTGTCTTAACAAATCTAGGTGCATGATACTGATGAAAGGAGCCTTTTTGCTCTTTCCACACACCATACAACTCATTTGTTCTACTCTTGAGCAAGTCTACAAACTAGGCTGGCAAAAATAACATCATAAATTAGTAATTTTTTGCCAAATTAGTAACTAAAACTAGCTCACCATGGGATAAGTCAGCACTAGTGCCTGCACAAGGGAAGCAAAAGGAACACAGGGAGTGAAGGAAAAGCAGGATGGTGGTTTTCATCCTTCATTTACTGAAAATTGGCTCAGTTGCACCACCAATTCGTATTCTGAGAATAGTACATCCTGAAGAAATATAAGGTTCATAACCTTAAGCTCCCCTGCCTTTCAGTGCAACACTTATGCCATATTATTTCTGTGGGCACCCATGGGTGCAACAGTACAGAGGTGACTGGGGGAGGGGTCAGACAGCCACACATGCCTGGTCAGCATGTTGTCTGAATTCTGAGTAAGTGGTTGAGAGCACCATGAATTAAAGGAAGATTGGTTGTGCCTTGCTTCTCAAGAGTAATGGCAGAGCATGTCAGCAATACAACTGCTAAGATTAAAGGAAAAGGCAGGCAACAGGAAAGATTTTCCAGAAATCAGAAAGTCATAAACATGAAATCAGTGCCTGCCATTTGAAAGTGTCTCTGGTCAATTAACTATGAAAACAAGGTGATTCACTTGGGCATTTGTGCTTGGCTAACTCAGCCCTGAGGACATTTCTCTGGATAAGGAGCCAAAACTGAGCCAGATCCATGCACTATCTGCACCACTGTTGAGGTAACAACCCCCCAAGGAAATATGGTGCAGAGGTGCCAGTGCACTCAGCTCAGCAGGAGCACCTCAAGTGCTGCTATGAAGTTAAGAGTTTTAAGCTCCAATGAATCCAAGGTAACTACGTGCACTTAGGCTTCACACTCGGCACAACCTTCACACCATCTGTACTAATCAAGCTTTCTCCACTTGCCACCATGTCTCTTCACTTAAGCTGAAGGAGAAGTAGTAACATGTATCATCTTGTGTTGTTTCAGATCCTAAACACCATCTGGAGGAGTGGGTAAGTGGGAATAGCCCTAAACACACACCTCCCTGACCCTAATGGCTATCACCAAGCCTGGGGAAGAGCCACCTTCAGCTACTCAGGCTTGACTGACTGCCAGCATGCTCAGAGAGTGCCTTCCAGGGGACAAGAAACATCCCAAAATATGTCAGGAAGGGAGAAAGTCTGCATCTTCTAAAGCAGAGGGAGAGCTAGGGAGCTACACTGATCAGCTGAAGATTTAATACCTAGAAATACAAGACCTGTAGGCATGTAGAAGCAAAGAAGATCGAACAAAATCACACTGTCAATCAGGAAAAACAGTGTTCAACTAATCATCTGGTTTTGGTGCTGAAACAGGCTTCACAGAATTGGGAGAAGCAGGAAAAAAAAATCACATCTTTTGATGCTGGCTTTGGCCTTTGCTAGTCTTTTGTCTTTGCTTGTCTTGCTCTCATAGAGGAACTCAGAAAACATGGGGGAGGGAGACACAACTTCAACAGAACAGAAGAGCAACCTGTTTCAAAACCAGGTTCAGAGTTAATGGTTCAATAATTAAATGGAAGATTATATTTAGGAGTATCTACGGGGTCTGGTTTAGGTTTAAGAGAATTCTTTTACTTTCCCTGAATTTCCTATTTTTGTGACATCCATGAATTTAGTAACAGGGATACACACTGTGATGGTAGCTTAAGAATTCAGCGTTAACCTTAATTTTACAAATGGGCTGAAAAAAACACTGTAATTCAGTATAAAGAAAGTTCCACATTTAATAAGGAATTAGCAGTTATACAAACACACACTGGTAGATAATTAGGGAAAAAGATACGGAAGCAGCAAGAGACCAAAACTGAATTAGTATTATTCTGTCTTGTAAAAGGCTATTATCATGACATATATAAACAGAAGTATTAGCCTTAAGACACATGAAATTAGTTCCTCCCTATTAAGCATTAGTGTGGGCCCAACCAGAGGCTGGTGCTCAATTATTGGCACCACAGTCTCAGAAAAACACAAGTCACCATGACTGAATAAAAAGAATCACAAGAATGGTCAGCAGTATGAAAAATGGAATACAGGGAAAAAGTGAGCAAACTGGCATTTAATATGGAAAAAGAGAAAGCTAAAAGAAAATTACATCCATATGCAAGTATATTTAATGCTCCTGCAATATCAGAAAAGTCTTTTTCCTATATTCATCAAGACACCAAAGGGCAAAATTGTGAGTACAGGGATTAAACTTTGGCAAAAAAAGCAGAAAATACTAAAGTCACTAATGCATAGAATAAATGTATTTGAAAGTTAAATAATAAATATTACCCTCACTAACCATGTCAACCATGAGTTTAATTGTTTCCCTCTGTCTTGCAGATAACCACAAGACACCTGCACTCAAAATCATGAAGAAAATAATTAACAGCTACCATCTTTTCCAGACAGTTTGAGATGTAACCATCCATTTTAGAAGCACTATGTAATACACCCTGTAATGCCTGAGAAACATGCAGCTGACATGGGAATAGAACAGATGGCATTCCTTAATAAACAGTAAAAGATCCAGCTGACCCATGAAAAGTTTGAAGGTTCTGCAGATTGAAACTTTTGTCCTATTTGCAAAATCAAGTATTTTTTCCCAGAAGATTATTTTTCCTGCAGCAAGATTCTGAGTGTCAGTTAACATTGTTGCTCCAATGTTACAATCATTATGACACACACTGATAAACTCCAAATGTGTTCAGATTTCCTGTGTAGCATGTGAGGAAGTGAAATAAGAAAATCTGAGCAAGAGTTATTTACCTGATAAACATTCCCCCTGTAGATCGCATATTTACAAGGAACCACAAACAGATTTTATCCATCTCTACTGAGTAAAGAAGCAGTCCAATCTGCCAGCCAAGAACCACGGTAAAGAATCCTCCCCATTCCTCCTCTTCATGTCAAAGAATGTTCCTCCAGAGCTGCAAAACTGAATTATACGAATATGCATATTAACTAGATTATTCTTTCTTTCATAAATTCTCTAGCTCATTATTAACTTTTAGTTATTAATATGCTTATTCGTATAATTTAGCTTCCAGCTTTCAAAAAAATTACGGTGGCAGATCAGAAAAAGCCTGGGAAGCCAGTGACCTGATTCCCATTAGACAGAACAGTTTCGTTTTACACTTCCTGAAAACAGATCATCACTTAACCTCCCCACCACACCTCAGTTGCTAATGCCTTGCAAAAGGCAAGTCAAAAAAACAGTTTTGAGGTTCCAGCCCAAATAAATCTTTTTAGATAACAATGTTTTTACTACAAGACTAAGAAAGGTAGTGGCTATATCCCTGAATATATTTTTACTATTAATTTTTCAGAGTTGTTTTTTTTTTTTTCTACAGGGATTTTAACAGTATGGGCAATTTTTTATTTCAGCTGATAGACTATTTTAAAGTTTTCAAAGTTCATCTGGTTTCTTTGTATTAGATTCTGTATCCTTTTCAGGCTAATTTCTTCCCTACTCCATTTGTAAAACATGTTGAGCAGCTGCAATAACAACAATATGCATTTTTGCAGCATTATTTCACATGAGGATTTCCAAGTGTTTGCAAACAAACACACCTCAGCAGACAAGTAAAATAATTAAATTCAATTTTTTTTGCAACAAGAACTAAAACTATCTTTGCACACACAGCAACATTCTCTCCTACTTTATCTGCAAATAAAAAAAAGAGTCAGGAATTTGGAGACAACTGAGCTGTTAGTCCTAACAGTATACATGTATTTTTTATCTTTGAGTATTAGTTCTGTAATATGGTAACTACAGCAATTTATTTCATCAGAATTATGCAGTTGTATGTCAAAATAATCACAATAAGTGGTCAGCCATATTTCTTATCATTATACAGTTAAAACAGCTTTGAAGAAAACGTAATTTCAAAGCTGCCTTGGGGTTTTTCAGCTTATATTGGCTTTGCTAATCTGCTTTTGGATCCTCCAAAATTTCTGAAAGTAAGAGTATTTTACTGGCTAGAGACAATACTTACCAGTCCTCATTTGCCAGAGCACTGACCCTTGTATAGCATGTATTATGCAGTAATTGATGACTATGAGTTTATGAAATTCACTTCAACAACTAAAATATTAAGTTCTTAATAAAAAAAATACCAGTTTTAGGCGTTCTTTTCTCCTCTTGCCAAAGGAAGAGCTTGATGACCCAGGTTCTGTTTCTTGGCCTCCCATTTTACCATTATCATCATCCTCCTCTTCATCTTCATCAAAGCACCACTCTGGTAGCTCCGGTGGTGACGGTGCATCATCTTCATCTCCGTAACGACGAAACAATTCCTTCAAATAGTCACCTTTGTAAATACCTGGTGGTCTAGCCTGAGCAAAAGTAGCCACAGCAGCCTCAATACTGTCAAAGAAAAATTGAAAATTACTCTGGATTCTCAATGTACATGTTTTAGTTATGTTACGCCTTACCAAATATAAGATTGTTAGGACTGAGAATCAAGACAAATTCCAAGCTAGTAATTGCAAAAACATTCATTATACTTGAAACATCAGCTTAGATCAGCTTGGCAACAGTTGAACGTGCACAAGATTCTGCATAAGCATGTAGGTGCAGTGTGTGTTTACAGAAGTAACTTGCACTGCTTCATCTCCTTCTCGTAGCTAACAGTGGCCACCTAGGTAAAACTCCTATTATTGCTACAGAAAGGGAAGGAGTCACATTTCAGTAAATCCTTAAGGACTGAAGGAAGACAAAAAAGACCACAGAAAAAGATTAACAATCTAAATGAAGAAAAATGCAAGTGTTCAAATTCAAATATGGATACATTTCCTCCTCTAAAAACTCTTTCCTTCTTTAGAGATCTTATCATTACACTGAGAAAAAGCATCCTCATCTTTTGGAATGTTCAACAGAAAATACTGGACATAATTCTGTCTTCAGTTTTTCATGGCTACAAGGAACAGTAATGCTCCATTTATCAACATTTAGAAATCTTGCTAGATGTAAGTGAGGAGAAATCACAAAAGGTACATTGTCCTTCTTAAGCTTCTTGACAAGCACATATCTCAAAGCTGGAACAAAAAAAAAAACATATTACATGCTGTGAAAATCATTTTTTTCAGGTAAGAAAATACCCTGCCACTGGAATGAGGAAAACAAAGAGCTTAAATAGAAAAAAAAATTTAAATAAAAAGGCTCTTTTTTGTCTGGTAAGTAGAAAACAAAACATTTTCCAGAGTCAGACTATCACTATCACACTTACATTTGTTTTTGATAATATCAGAACTCTATACTGTTCTGGAATAGATGGCAATGAAAGGCAAAAGAGGCAGCACAGATTTCAACCACAGTAACCTAGCTGAAAGAAACATATATTCAAGATCTAGAAATGTAGCAGTCTTTGGGAAAAACGAATTGTGAAAAAGAGAACTGAGTAGGGTATCTGATCTCTAGCTGAAGAGCTTCCAGTCTGGATCATCTTCCTTTAAACTAACTATAAAATACATCTCAGTACTTGCAATACATCAGCAGCATTCCTATATCATATGATTAAGGTATGAATATGGATGGATTTTTCCCATCAGGAAAATCTTATTTCCTCATCAGCAAATAAATAACAGTGCCTTATTTTGAGGGATGATATAGCAACTTGCATTTATCTTGATACAATATGGACCCAGCTCCCTCAGCCTTTCCTCATAAGGGAGATGTTCCACTCCCTTAATCATCTTCGTAGCTCTGCGCTGGACTCTTTCAAGCAGTTCCCTGTCCTTCTTGAACTGAGGGGCCCAGAACTGGACACAATACTCCAGATGTGGCCTCACCAATGCAGAATAGATGTGGCCATTTTTCCCTACCAGGTGATATCTGGGTGTTCTGTTACAAAATAAATAAATCTGAATGAGATTAACAAACTTGATACAATTACCTATGAAGAATTACCAAATGAAGAAATAAAGAAAGAAAGGGAGGAAAAGAAAAAAAGGAAAAAAAAAAAGACATGGCTGTTAAGTTTTAAGGCTTTTCCCATAGAAGTTTTAAAATAAAGAGGCTGCATAAAAACAGGAGATTTAGATGGTTTCAGGTGCATCTCCTCTTCAGAACAAAGGATCAATTCTGAGTCTGATTATTGCATGCTGCTTTAAAATTGTTAGATTAAAAGCATACAAATTTGATAGTTCATAGGAATAACTCGAGATAACTACAGACATTTGTGTTTGTGTCTACTTCCTATACTCAGCTAAGATTCTGCCAGGATTCAGCCACCCACTACTAATAGTGTTCTGTCTCCATTACTCCAATGTCTTTATTCCAAATTTACTAACAGAGAACAATGACCTAGTTTTAGCAAACAGCTTGTACATACATGCTGAGCATCAAATAACTGTATGTCCAGTCTTAAGAAAATGCTTCAACAGGAGTAGAATTTTCTTCATTTAAAGGACCATACAAGAAATGTCATCAGAATGCTTAAGGGGCTTGTTAAAAAACATGCCTTGCATGGGACCCCATCAGCAATGAAACAGTGTTTTGTGAATAGTACCAAGCATGCAGAAGTCATGCCCACCAGCACTGTACAGGCAATTTTTTTGGTACACTAATGTTATTAGAAAAATATCATTACTCTATGAAGGCACCAGCATTTTTTAATCATAAAAAAGCCAGGTGAGTCCATATAGAAGCATGTTGTAGGCTTTAACCAAACAAGCTGCTGGAAACAAAGACTTTGTCTCCCCCCAGCACTTCAGAAGCAACTATGTCACTGTTGCTGCTCTAGCTAATCTATGGGACATTTCCCAGGGAAGAGAAAAATACAACATACGTATTCCTAAAAGCCAACACACAGCAGGTACAGCTGGCTTTTATTCTACAGGACTTTATTCTACCTGGAAAGCTTGACTGAAACAGGCTAAGATACCAAGGGATTATATAAATAATGTTAATATAGGTTATTTGCTCAAGATCAGTAGGCAGCTTTAAAATAAGGATCAGTGAATATATTAGGATAGATGTCAGGAAAACAAGTAAAACATACAGAATATGCCTTTGGTCACTCTCCACAAATCTCTAGGAATTAACATTCAAAGTTACCTCCAGTCCAGCTTCTCAACCAGAAAGGCACAGATAAGAAATCCAGTTCTGTTGAAACCATGTGTGCAATGGACACCTATGCAAGAAAAGAAAAGGGTATAATTATTTACAAGTAGTTTAATAAACAGCTTTAATCTCACAAGTGTGTTTTTGGATCCTTCTACTGTCATCAGTAACGTTAAAGAGTCCACTCCATTCCCACCAAGGCAGCCCAGAAAAGGTAAGGCATATGAACCTGAAAAAGAATTTACTATATTCTTTCTGCAAATTATTAGCAACAAGAGTATAGAATACTTCCGTTTATCTCAACTCAAGATCACAAACTTAATGCAACTGTAATATGGCTAATACAGGTAAGATTCAAAGTATTTCTTATGACTGCTCAAATGCTTATCAAAAGACAATACAATCAAATTCAATAATTGTGCTTTTAGTGGGTTCAACAGGCATTACATTCATTTCACACCATCAGGCTTAAAAGTCCTATCCAGATTACCACACCTCAAACTTGAAAGCAGTGTCAATAAAGCACAATCCTATTTCAAATTTTCTATTACCATGCCAAGACCAGACTCATTTTGAAAAACTACTACAAAGAGAAAACTACACAACAGTACAATCATGTAGAATTACTTATCAATGTAAGTAAAAAAAAATAATTAAGTCTTCAGCCTCTATTTTACTGAATTCATTTCCCAGTGACAGGAGTGGAAGAGTGAAATGAGTTTTTCCCTCTCAAGGCAGCAGCACCATCTAGTGATAAGTAAATCAGCCTGAAAATGTGTGCTGCTAAAAATGCTGTGAAGGATTCAGGCAAGATTTTGCCTCTTCCTCACACTGCATTTTAAATATCAGAGTATTAAATTTTCCACTAAAACCAAACACAATCATACTTAATATTAACATAGTTTTCAGTTGTGACCATGAAGCAAGTAATTTAAGCTTTTACTGATTTCCTTACTTCTCTGCCATAGTTAGTAAAGTTATTTTAGCAACAATTGACTTGATGCTTATTCAGACAATATGTGAGTATCTATCTTTTCTTCTACATGCTTCCCTACGCTGCAAGTTTTTTTTGTTTTGGTTTGTTGGGTTTTTTTACTGGAGATCCAAAAAATGCCTACAAAGAGGAGACTGGTAAAACCCAGAAACTTTATACAGGTAAACAGAAACACACCCCAACTGTGTCAGGGTTGGGTTTTGTGCTCACCCCACCAAGCTTCCCTTCTCCATAAAGCACAGCAAAAACTACTATGAATTTCCCAGATTCACTCATTCTAACTATTTAATACTATTAAAAACTGTGTAACCTGCATCAAATAAAATTAATTTTAGCTTCCTTAGAGAATTTTTTCCCCGCAATCACTTCTCCTTTGTTTTCTGCTTAAGCAATTTTTTTTGCATTTGGTTCCCTTAAGGTTGGCAGGCACATTCCAGTTCTTCAAGCTGCAAAAATAAAGTTTCCATCCCATATTGTTCTAGCTGAATAGAAAATTGTGTTCACTTATCATTCCCATTTCAGTCTCTCTTCGTATCTAATCTTGACAATGCAAATGAAATGGCACACAACTGCTATCAGTAAGTCCTGCAGCTGTTACTGCTACCAAGAAGGTTAAGTCAATAATTTTATACACATGGCAAAGATAAGAAGCATTTCAGTGATGAGACCAATGGCTTGGAAGGGAAAGATCACACAGGGTGCAGTACTATCACTGCTGCACACTACCTTCACCTTTGATAAAAACATGCTCCACACCAGTCCTCCTGATGCTCTGGCAGAGGAAACCTGAAACAACTTTTCAATAATTCATGGAAGGGAAATGGAAAACCCCAAAGCCACGTTATTTAAAAGCTTACTCAACACAAGCACTGGTTCCAATACTGACCCCTGAGGGACACTACTTGTCACCTGCCTCCACTTGGACATTGAGCCATTGACCACAACTCTCTGGGTGGGGCCATCCAGCCAATTACTTAGCCACTGAGTGGTCCAGCTGTCAAATCCATTCCTTGTCAGTTTGGAGACCAGGATGTCATGTGGGACAGTGTCAAACACCTTGCACAAATCCAGGTAGATGACATGAGTTGCTCGGCCACCATCCATCATCTCTGTAGCCTTGTTGTAGAAGGCCACCAGATTGGTCAGGCATGACTTGCCCTCATTGAAGCCATGTGGGATGTCACCTATCACCTATTTTCTATGTGCCTTAGCAGACTTTCCAGGAGGATCTGCTCCATGACCTTGCTAGGCACAGAGGTGAGACTGACCAGCCTGTAGTTCCCTGGGTTTTCCTTTCTCCCCTTTTTAAAAATAGAGGCTATGTTCCCTTTTTTCTAACCAGTGGGAACCTCACCAGACTGCCATGACCTCTCAAATATGATAGACAGAGGCTTAGCAATTTCATCTGCCAGCTCCCTCAGGACCCATGGGTGAATCCCATCAGGTCCCATAGATCTATGCACCTTTAGGTTCTTCAGATGGTCACAAACCTGCTCTACACCTACAGTGGGGGGTAATTCATTCTCCCAGTTCCTGCTTTCACCTTCTGTGGCCTTTGTGTTGAAGTTGGAGTACTTGCCAGAGGAGACTGAAGCAAAGAATTCATTGAGGACCTCAGCCTTCTCAATATCCTGTGTTGCTACCTTACCCGTTTCCTTCAGGATAGGGCCTACACTCTCCTTGGTTGTCCTTTTCTCTCCAACATACCTAAAGAAGCTTTTCTTATTGTTCTTAATATCCCTGGCAAGATTCATTCCTAGCAGGGATTTGGCTCTCCTAACCTGATCCCTAGCTCTTCAGACAACCTCTCTGTAATCCTCCCAGGATATCTGCCCTAGCTTCCACCCCCTGTATGTTTCCTTCTTCAGTTTGAGCTTTTCTAGGAGCTGCTTACTGATCTATGTCGGCCTCTTGGAGTTTCTACTTGACTTCCTCTTAGTTGGGATGCAATGCTCGTGGGCCTGGAGAAGGTGATCCTTAAATATCAGCCTGATTTCATGGGCCCCTCTGCCTTGCAGGATGTTATCTCAAGACACTCTCTTAACCAGATCCCTGAAGAGGCTGAAGTCTGCCCTTCTGAAATCAAGGGTAGTAAGTTTGTTGTGAGAGCCCTCCTTGCTGCTCTAAGGATCTTGAACTCCACCATTTCATGGTCACTACAACCTAGGCTGCCCTTGAGCTTAACATCCCTCACCGGCCCTTCCTCCTTGGTCAGGACAAGACCCAGCACAGCACCTCTCCTTGTTGGTTCCTTGATTATTTGGAAAAGGAAGTTATCATCCTTGCACTCTAAGAACCTCCTCGATTGTTTGTGTTTAGCAGAGTTGTTCTTTCAACAGATGTCAGGGTGGTTGAAGTCTCCCATGAGGACTATGGCTTGTGAATGTGAAGCTGCTCCCATCTGTCTATATAGTGCCTCATCTATATTATACTCCTTCTCAGGCGACCTGTAGCAAACCCCCACTGTGACATCACCTTGGCCTTTCTTCCCCTTAATTTTAACCCATAAGCTGTGTGAAGGACCAGGTATTTCCTTACACGAACATGAAATGTCCTTTGAGTCAGCCGACAAAACTGACTTAAAATGGCGTCTCCACGCGGCGCTGAACCCCCTCTGTGTGTGTGTGGGGGGGGAGCAGCTGCTGCAGGGGAGGAACCGTGGCCGGGAGCAGGGGCGGGACTAGGTCCCGTCTGATTGGCTGAAAAGCCCGGAAATATAAAACCGGCCAATCGGGAGCGCCGAAAACCCCATAAGAGAGGCAGC